TAAAAAGGATTAGTATAAAACTTATTTCAATTTTTGGTTTACCATATACATGTGAATCTTTATTTTCAACTATGAAATTTGTTAAATCAAAGTATCGTACCAATCTAACAAGTAAACATTTGTTGCAGTTGCTTAGAATATCAACTACAAGCTTAAAACCACATTTTAAAAAATTTACCAGTTGTGTTCAAAATCTTAGTGCCTAATAAATTTATAGTAAGTTAGGCAAGTTATTATGCAAGAAGAATTTTCTAATTGTCTTTTACAAAAAATAATTGATGTTATAAAAAGAATTCTTTTTGTTATGTCTAATTTTTTGCTGAATGATGAAAAAATATTTTCAAGTTGTAAAAATAAAAGTAATTTGAACTTAATTAAAGTTCATTGAAAAACTTTTTATATTGGGTAGTTATTTATTTATTTGATATTTTTTAGTTTTTAGTAACTTATGCTATTAAGTGGTTATAAGCAAGTTCAATTCGAATAAAAGCAAGTTTAATTCAAATACATTAAAATAATTTTTTTTCGTAAAGAAACCTTTGTATCTTTAGATTTTTATATCTTGCTTACAATTATTTTTATAAGAAAATTTATTGTTGTTGTAAATGTGTTAATTTTTTTTAAAATTACAATATGAAGATGCTTTCTTAATTTTTTCTACAAATGGTTTTCTAGTGTGAATAAAAAGGAATTAGATTTTATGTAGCCAAATTTACAATTAAAAAATAGTTTTTACTTTCTTCATTGTAAAAAAAACTAAATACTAAACATAAGTTGTGTACATACTAAGTTTATTTATAAAAGTAGAATTTCCATTTAAAAAAATCAGAATATTGATGTATAAAAAATCAAAATTTACATTTGTTAATTATTTTTTTTATGATGAAGTTGGCATAGCAACATATTTATTGCGGCTCTTCGGCACACGTCAGTGTTTATATGCGGTTTAGGGGTCATCCATAAAGTACGTACGTCAAAAATTCTGAAATTTGACACCCCTTCCCCTGTTGCCATGCGTACTTGTAAGTTCCACCCCCCTTAAAAAGTACGTACATTTTTATGAACCTCCCCCCCCCCCCCCCCCTCAATGGAAAAATAAAGGTGTAGGAGATACCCTAGATACTTTAAAAGTATCTACGGTACCTTCTACACCTTTTTTATTTCAATAAATTTTTGTATTAAAAAAAAAAAAAAATAGACGGGGGGTGAAAAAGTATAAAGTATTTATACAACCCCAAAGCCCATTGTTAGCGGCAAAGGATTCTAATTTAAAAATATCATTAAATATATACAAATATAAATTTGAATATAATTAAATCTTGCAATATTGAAGAGATCGCTTATGTTATCGGCAGTACCAGCGGAGATCTGAGTTTGATTCCCAGTAATGTCCTATTTCCCTTTTTCTGCTTAATGAGACGCATCAAATAAAAATATACTATAAAGCAGACGTTTTTTTCAGGCACCCCTCTGCAGTAAGTCCGTAAAAAGCGATTCACACGAGAAGAGTAATATTGAAAACAAAGCTTAAAATTCAGTGTCAAGTGTAGGGTACCCATACCCCGTAATTAGAGGGGTGGGGTGTTGTGGAGGAGCAGCAAGTTTTATGCCCTTTTGCTATTTTATTTTAGCAAAACCTAGCGGTAAAATTTTGAAGATTTTGAGACTCTAATGACACGTTTTTTTTATTTTGAAGGGAGGGGGGGGGGGTCTCCGACCTATTAGCCATTGCACTGCTAAAACCTGTTTCTTGTTGACTCAAAAATTAGGCAACCTATTTTTTGCACATGTATGCACACATGCCACTCCTTATATACTGGCCCTGAGTATACTCAGGGCCAGTATATAAGGGGTGGCATGGGCGCCTGCAGTATTTTTCGATGTTTCAGATAGGACACTTTCACTTATTGCGCAAATTCCAAACTTAAGTATGTTTATACCTATGTCAAATTTTTATCTTAACTATCTAAAATTAAATTTAAATTTATCGACAGAATTTAAATTTTGGTAAAAAATATTGTAAATTACAAAATGTAAATGTAAATGTCGATGCAAAATGTACAATCCCATTTATTTAGTACAATCCCATTTAATTATTTTTTTGGAGGTTGGGGGTTGGAAAATTCTACTACACTAGTGGCCTCACGTTTGGGCAGGGGAGGGGATGCAAGCATTTGAGGGCTTTTTTGTTCCCAGACTACCGCGATAACAATTTTTTGCAAGGCCTCTTCAAACAGCATAGGTATAAACATGCTTAAGTTTGTAGTTTACACAATAAGTGGAAGTGGTTTATCTGGAACATCAAAAAATTTTGCGGGCGTCTATGCATCTACTCCCTTTACAGTACATCTTTTTATGTTGGCAAACTAGGATCTTTAGTCAGAATTTTAACTTTTTTATTGACTAGGGGTTTCTCAAAACATTGACCACAATGTTTTGAGAACCCCCCCCCCCCCCATCCGCTTTCGTACGCTTTAAGAAGACCTCCCATCCTCCCCCCCCTTCCCCAAATGAACGTACGTACTTTATGGACGACCCCTTACGGGCCTAAAATTCTGACCAGCCCTGGTATAGACTTTAGATATTTAGCAAAAATTTATAGGGGGGGGGGGGTTCTCAAAACATTGCGGCCTCGTGAAAAATTGTCTCTTTTATTTTGTTTTGCTCAAATAATATTTAAGTTATAAAATATTAATAAAATAAAAAAAGCCAATAAAAATTACTTTATGATTTTAAAAAAAATTCATTTTGGAAAAAAGTTTGTTTTCATATTTTGACATAATCAACTTTTAACATTTTTTGACAGTTTTATTAACTACTACATATTATTAATAGCGTTCTAACAAATTTTAGTTGTAAGAAAATGTATTAGTTAATTTAGTCGGCAATCAAATTATTTCAATATTTTAACAACACTGATGTTTTCTTTTTCCCTAAAAAGTTTACTTTTACATAGCTAAATAGTCATGGTCACTTTAGTCTCCCCCTCCCCAAGTTTATGCGCCAATCAAGCTAAAATTGTTAGTTGCTGATTGAAATATTTTTCTTCAGGTCTGCTAACTCTGGAATTTTTTGGTTTTTTAGTGTTAAAAGATCGGCTCGTAATTGTTTTTTTAATCAACTTTTAGAGTAATTCTTTTTTCTTTAGTAACAATTCAAATTCAAAAAGACCAACATTTTCTTTAAGATTTATCACAGGTTAATACGATTGATACGATTAATTCTCAATGCTGAACGGATAAATTACTGTTGTTAATTATGTAGGATCGCATAGTAGGATCGCATTTGATTTTCAATACAAAGGTTACCATGACTTTTTTTAGATGTTAGAACTTTAAGTTGACGATTAAAACATTTCGACCACTAATTTTTACGCTAAAATCAGATATAAAAAAATTTCATACTTTTTTTTTCTACTTTTTAGAAAATACTTTACTATTTTGAACATAATTATGAAAAAATCAAAATGTAAAGAGTATAAAAAATAGCAAAACTTTTTCTTAAACTACAAATAATTATAATTAATTTCTATAAGATAAGCAAATTATGATATTGCTGCGTCAAGTTAGGAAACACATTTTTACTTATTTTTTGGCTAACGTAAAATAGAAATTGTAACAAGTTTTTAAGTTTTATGGATAACATCTAATTCATGGATAACATGCAAGGTAGTGCTGTTACATCGAGTGAGGGTTTGGGTCGGGGCAGGTATAGATCAATCGATGTAGCAGCACTCTCATATTTCTCCCCAAATCAAAAATATATCTGGTCTTCGTTTTTTTGAAAAATTAAAACCTCATTTTGAGTTATATTATCTTTCGCTTATCAAGTGGGAAGCGTAGTCGCGTTAGCTCACTTTTTATCGGTGTAAAATTCTAGAGAAATTAATGACAATTTAAACTTTATTTATTAAATTTTTAAACTTTATTTAATAAATTTATGTCTTAATTCTTATAACATAATGAATAAAGGTACCGCTTTTTATTTTTCTATTTATTCATTGAAAAAAATAATTTAAAAGTTACTGGTTATGTTATTATGTAATAATTATTTTTTGAAAATCTTCCTAAAAAATAGTTTAAGTAGGCATCTTTCGAAATCTTTAATGTCATTAAAGATTTATTATAAGTTTTTAACTCTTTTATTTAGTGATATCTCAATATATATTGTATTGTTATTATATATTAATTCACAAGCATAATCCATTCTTTTTATGAAAAATAAGTTAATACTAATATTGTACTTGTTATTTCCTCTGAAACAGAAAACCTTTTAATTAAAGTCTATAAAATTTATACATGATATCATATATTTGGAAAGCAAATATTAAACATAACTTACATATTGTATATTTAAATATACAATTTTTGTAAGCTTATTAATTTGTACAATATTTTTTCATCTAAAAGATTTAAGTTGTAAGTAAAACTTTAAAGATTTAGTATTTTACTAATTTGAATTATGCATAAACTATTTACTTCTTCCTACTTCAGACAGTTGATTTGATATTGTTGTTAAACAGTAGCTGGCCAAATTATTTGTATGTATAAATATAATGTATGTATAAATATAAAAATAACTTGCTGCCAAAAGTGTTTTCTGATATTTTTACATCAATATTTTTACAAAAATACAATCTTAATCAAATAACAACCATAGCTATCACTTGAGCATAGTGAAATTGCAAGTTTCGAAATTCTCAATTATTAACCAAGGCCTGTCATTATGGAATCAATTAAAAAATAACAATATAAAAAATTTGAAAAGCACTTTCTCTTTTAAACAACAAATGAAACTGCATCTCTTTAATTTCTGACATATATGAAAGTATGTTTGTATATGTGTGTGTTTTTATGGGTATATGTATATATGAGTATATATGTATATATGAGCTTTTCTTTATTCTTCACAGAGTATTTAACAGATAAAATAGAGTAGGTACAATCGGCGGGGCGGGGCGGATCAGCGGGGCGGATCATTCAAGTAACGCGGCACATTTATAGTTTGATTTCTGGAAACAAATTCAACCTAACCAAACACATTGCTAAATTTGTTTAAAAAAGAAATGACTGTTCCAGTTTTGACAGGTTGTTTAAATCATCTTAAGATAGAGGTTATTGCAAGTCTTATTGCGAAGAGCATTAATGAAGATAGACCAACTACTCTCAACAATCCTAAGGCAGGCGAAGTTTATGTTATACAAGTGAATCATGGAAAAGGTTAGGCAGCAATATTTCAGTACACTTTTAAAGTATTTGTATTTTGTAAATACATTTGTATACTAAAATAGTATAATATAGAATATAGCATAGTTATTGGGTTATATTAGTAAAAATCAATTACTATGCTTTAAATTACTTAAGGCTATCTTCTATCTTACTTAATAAGTAAAGTTTTTACTTTAAACACATTAAAAGAAGTTATACTTGTAATCTTGTAATCTACAGTGTATATACTGTAGACTAAAGTCTACACTGTAGGTTACATCTACACCGTAGATTACAATCTACTTGTAGACTGTAGCCTACATGTAGTCTACCAGACTGTATATTTCTTTTAATATGTTTAAAGTAAAATCTAACTTTAATTAGGCGTAGTTAATCGTTTACTAAAGCCTATGCTACAGTACACCAAGGTATTTTATTATTAAATATAAAACTTTTATATTTAATAATAAAATACCTTGGTGTACTTTAGTAAACGATTAACTATGCCTAATTAAAGTTAGTTTGCTATAGTAAGTTTGCTATAGAGCCATTTTACAATAATAAATAATTCATTAAACAAATTATAATAGGAAAGATAATTTTTAGCTTCAAAATAATATTGCATATTGAATGACATCTTGAAAATATTTAATATAATATTAAATGACATTTAGATGCCCTTTTAATAAAATTTTGAAGCTAAAAATTATCTTTCCTATTATAATTTGTTTAATGATTTATTTATTATTGTAAAATGGCTCTATAGCAAACTTACATGCTTATGTAAGTTACATGCTTTATGCTTTTTTATGCTTTATGCCAATATTGACATTATATAAAAAAGATAATGCAATATAAGACATGATATAAAAAATAATCTGCAGATTTTTACATGACCTTTTTTATATATGGAATTTAAAAGTATCTGTGTTATGATTTTAAAATGTGAGCGCCAATGTGCTTTCATTGTACTTGCTTAAAAATAGTTATATATTATAATAATATAGTAACTGCTGTATTATTAAAAATATTATTATAAATTATTAGTAGTAGAAGATACAGTGTAGCTATGTGTTACTAGCGAGTGAATTAAAAGCTCATTTTTGATAATGTAGGTATATACCATTAAAAAGAATTAAAAATTTAATTTAAAATTACTTTAAAAGACTCAAAAACCAATAGTAAATTTTGTTTGGTTTTTTTTTTCCTTTTTATTGGTATTAAGATTTTTTATTAGTATTAAAATTTTTTATTAGTATAAAACTTATTAAGTTATTTTTTTTAATGCTATGATATGGAATATCAAAGATATGGTTATCAAGGCCAAAATCCTGGAAAAACATGTCTATATGATGGAATAAATGCTGAATTTGAGTGGACACCCTGTTCAATGATGCTCTTTCTCTTTTAGACAAAATGCAAAAACACAGTTTAAACATAGTTGGATCTGCTCTTGCAGCCAACCTCTAACCATTGTTACATCCGCGTAATGTTGCCTCTCTTTCTCTTATCTATAAATACTTTAACGTGAACATACCTGCTCACTATTTTGTATATGGTTTTTGAAAAAAAAATGTATAAAGAGGCTTACATAAGAGTCAACTGGTTTACTCTAACAAGAACATATTTGAATTTTAAGACACGTAAGCTAACAAGCAATAGACAAATGCAGCACAATGGAAGTTTTTTAAAATGTGAAGCTTTTTCAACGTATAATCATAAGGAAAATTTAGTTCATTTAAAAATGCAGTACTGTTTCTTTAATTATTGTACCTAAATAACATAGAACTTACATCAGTGAGGACTTCAAAGGTATTGTTAATTAATATAATTAGCCTACAAAAAGTTCAATAGCATTAATAATTTAACAATAAACACAGAGTAATTACTACCTAGATAGAAAAAATTTGTGTTTATTGTTGATAATAAAGTTACATTAAGGTAGTACTTAACTTTATTATCAATCTTATTTAATATATTGTCAATATTATTATTTAAATTATTTTAAATATTATTGAATATATGTTCAACATAAATATTATTTATTAATATGTTATCGTTCTAACTATAATATCAATCTAAATTTATTACTATATCAATCTTAATCATTCTACTAATACAACTTTGGCTTGCTTAATCATTTATCTTAAAATAAATATGATTTGACAAATGCTCTCATGTTTCTTTGTAGCTTAACCTGAGTGCAGTTTTTGCTCTCATGCTATGCACATTTAGTGCCAAGAAGTTGGCAAGCAAAAGTGTCGTATAAATGTCGATTTATTTTGTAAAATTACTACATAAAAACCAAAACGCTAAAATAAATAATGCCCATGGGATTTCAGTTATGGTGGGGCCTTTGATCTGTAATAACGCGTTAAATGTTTATTTATTTGTATATCTTTGGTCAATTGAAGCAATAATTCATTATTCATTATGTATTTAAATGTATAAGTGCATGTCTAAAAAAGTTTCCACATTGTTTAACAGCTTTTAAATATAGTCTTCTACTTTTTCTTTGGCTTTTTCTTATTATTATTATTGTTAAAATTTTATTATTATTATTTCTTTTTTGATGAAAATTTTATGTAGTTTTTTATTCATATTCATTATTCAGTGAATAAGGATACTATTGAACTGGCGTAATATTATAGAGAAGAAGAGTGGAAGAGCACGCCTCTCTCCTTGTTAACATCTTTTTGTAAATTCCAGATTTTTTCCGGATAATTAAGAAAAAAAATTTTCCGAATTTTTAAAAAATGGTCAGGGTAATCTATGCATAATAGTTGAGGATGTAGCATGGCTACAAAGTATATATGACATCATGCATATTAATATGGCTAAATTAGACGCTATGGTGAGTGGAATAATCCTAGCTGTTAAGTGGGACATCAAGAACTTAATGATATTTACCGACTCGGTAACTGTTCATGGATGGTTAAAAAGTGTGTTAACTGAAAGTCATAGGGTTTGGTCAAATGGTCTATCAGAAATGCTAATCAAACAAAGACTTTCATTATTGTGTGATTTAATAAAGGAATACAGTTGGAACATCATGGTGAAGTGGGTTCCGTTCTAAAAAAACAAAGCAGATGTATCGACAAGACGTTTCAAGAAAAGTGGTTAAATGAAATTTCACTAAAAAATGTTATAGAATTATGTGGGGTATATATTGCCGATAAAGTTCATAAATGTCACTCGAAGCATCATTTTGGTGTTAATCAAACAATGTTTACAGTACAACAAAGAATCCCGCGAGTGTCAAGAAAAGACGTTGAAGACTGTGTGCTCAAATGTTGTCAATGTAATCCAATTGATCCAGCGCCAATAAAATAGGAACTTGGAGTGCTAGATATGCTAGATACATGGTATCCTATTGTATGCGATGTGACTCACTATAAAGGGTCACTGTACCTAACAATGATTGACTGTGGACCAAGTCGATTTGCAGTATGGAGAAAGATGTTACACAAGATATCAAAAGTATATTAATTCAATTGGATTCCGTATTTAGGGAGCATGGCCCGCAACGAACTATTGATGAACTCTATATATATATATATATATATATATATATATATATATATATATATATATATATATATATATATATATATAAATGGTACTTCTCCTAATATAGTGTGGCTTTGATGACGTTTTCTGTAGCCTTAAACCCACTCTCTTATATACATATAAATATATATATAAATATTATTTTTAGACGATTGGCGGGCAGATGGGTATAGGTGGAAGCAAAATGGCTGCAGTAAAATTCCTCGGGGTTCGCCACTTTACACAAAGATCCATTTTGCTACTGTTACATCAACAGGAATTTCAAATGATTTCCAGAAGTTTGTGTACTGTGATCTGAGTCGGACAGATCTTGTTGTTATCCATTACATTGGTAACCACAACCTTGCAGTTTTAGTTCCACATGGTAAATATATCTTACATTTTGATAATGATTTTATTTTTTATTTTTAAAGTTTTACATAAGTTAACTACTTAATAAAACCTACTTTAAATAAAAATTTTAAATAATAATATTTTTAATTAAAATTCATGTTGTTTAGCCTCCTTTCTTTTCCATTCTAAACTTTGCCTTGTTTTACCCCGCCCTTCACTCATTTTTTATGACCTTCATACGCCAATGTATACACACACACATATATATATATATGTTTGTGTTAATGTATGTATATTTTAGATAATTCCAGAAAACCAATCAAGTTCTTACCAACAGCTTCATCTGTGCTAGATGCAATTGCTGATTCCCACAGTTACAAGGAACTTCTTCTTGATTGCAAGGATAGCCAGGTCCAATTTCAACCAAGAAATTCAAGGCAGTTTAAGTACGTTCGTAGTGTAAAAGCCGCTAGTATGAAACTAGGCACTGAGCCTTTTTTAACATTACATGAACTGGCATATATGATTCCAGGCTTTGTGTGGTCCATATCCACTTATCCTGATTTGTTGGTTTCGTTTGGCATGCAAAATTTAATCAGTCAACTTGTCATGTGCTCTCAAATTTTTTTTTCATATGATACAACATTTAATTTAGGTGATTTTTATTTATCAATTCTAGTGGCTAAATTAAGTTGTTTTGTTGAGAAGCCTTGCATGCCTGTAGCATTTGTTTTACATGACAGGAAGTTTGATAGTGTGCATAAAAGTTTTTTTAAATCTTTAAAAAAAAAATTACCAGTTCTTAATCAGGTTGTGATTGTGACTGACGGAGAGAGTGGAATTGGCAAAGCAATAAAAAAAGTGTTACCAAAATGGAATCTGGTATCTTGCTCCAATCACATTTTGTCTGATATTGAGGTTTGGTTAAAAAAACACAGTGCTTGTCATGCAGAAATAACTGTTTATAAATCTCAAATGCAGGAACTTCTCATATGTGAAAGTGAAATTTGTTTAAAAGTAAAAATTGATACATTGAGACCTTCATGGAGCGAAGCATTCTCAATTTATTTTTCAGATCACTTACACTCACGTATTTTAATATCTTATATTGGTCACCTCAGGTTCGTTGGTTTAACAGATAATATAATTACAAATAATGTATCAGAATCACTAAATGCTGTCATTAAAAGGTTTCAGGATTGGAAAGAAGCGCCTGTTGATTCGATGGTTGTTGCAATGCATCGCCTTCAGACCTTCTATTTGACAGAAATTAAGCGGAGTTGTAGTGGTTTTGGACCCTACACTCTCGTTGACAGCAGTCTCCTAATCAGTATGTCACATTTAATACATAACAACTTTTTAAATCTTATTTGTAATTGTTTTTTTGTTTGATTTTAGAATTATTTAGTAAATATTTACAAAAATGCAATATACTCATGAGTTAGTAATGATATTTTAAATTGAAAGTTTAAATAATGTTTTAGAAAATGCAGATGACATACCAAAAGTAGAGAGTCCAGAGCTTGTTATTGCGGAGCTGCAAGCAGCTGCCAATATACCAATACAGCAATTCATACCTCCGTCAATATGTGTGCTTTCTAACACATTTAATGTTGTACATGTTCCAAGCCTTAAAGTTTTTACAGTCTCTGCCCCTGATGGAAATGCGCATGTTGTGAAGCTGTATCCAAAGGAAAACTGCACGTGTCCTTCTTCAACAATGTGTTGTCACATACTGGCTGTTAAGCGCAGCATTGGAGTTGAATGTAGTGAACGAAAGATCATAAATTTGACCAAATTGCGGCGTAACTCACGGTAAATTTAATTACTCTGAGGTGCCTAATAAAAGAATAATCCTAATAAACAGGGAAAAAATTAGAAAAATAAGAGAAGAGTCTACAATATTATTAAACATGAGACAGTCTAAATAAGGTCTGGGCAAATGGGGTAAAAATTTAAATATTTAATATTTGGCATCTCCGAGAGCAATGTTTGTTGTTAAATATATATATAATCAATTATAAATTCTAATCCTTGATGACATTCAAACAAATGTGATTTATCTTAATATCTAATTTCATTAAATAAGTAATCAATGACTTAACTAATTATGAAGGTTTAGTGAACCTGGCAAAGCTATAAGGTTACTAGGGGTTATAACCTGGAGCTTGGATATTATTTTTAAAACATATTTGTTCTATATATCTTTAAACTTTATAATTGTATAATAATTTTTTTATGTATGCAAACATATATATATATATATATATATATATATATATATATATATATATATATATATATATATATATATATATATATATATATATATATATATACATATACGTATATGTACATATATATACATATATATATATATATATATATATATATATAATATATATATATATATATATATATATATATACATATACGTATATATACATATATATACATATATATATATATATATATATATATATATATATATATATATATATATATATATATATACATATGTTTGTATATGTTTATAGATATATAAGAGGAAGAGGTGACTTGAGTTCTCAAAATATGAGATTAATTTGTTTTCCGGATTGCGTTTCAGAAAAGAAAATGCAATAGGGAAATATCTTATCTACATTAAAAATGTCACTTTTAATGTTATTATTTTTAGTAAAAAGGGTGATAAAAAATCAGGTTGCAAGGTGCCAAGAAAAGGCGATTTAAGTTTTATCCCTGCACCAGATGCAGCTGTTAATCTTGACATAAGAAATTTAAATAATTTGAACACAAATCAAATTGTCGACTCAGCGTCTCAAACCTTGCACGATAACCTTTCCTCTGCACCAAGTTTAAATACAGAGATTCTGTTATCTCAAAATGAAATGTAAATAACTTTATTTGTTTGCTTTTTAAATTGTTAGGTGTTATCCTTTTCTTTTTATCTTATATTATTGTGTAAACAATGTTATCTACATTTCCACTATTATTCTATAATTATATGTGTATTAAAAAGGATGCAAAAGAGAGTGAAATTTGATGACAACTGTGTACCAGCGTCTAAAGATTCTCTATCAAATTTTCCATTTTTATCATCAGTTGTGAATTCAGATATGAAACCAACTATACTTGAGACACCTATTTTAATTTGTGATGATACAAACTCAATGGCTACTGCAGATGTTCAGACATGGCTTCAATTTGAAAATCTGACACTCACCAATGATGATCGAAGCCTTATTTTAAATCCAATGGGGCTTCTCAACGATAAAGTTGTTTTTGCTGCAATGTTATTGTGTAAGCGCCAATTTCCAGATATTAAAGGTCTTGAAGATCCGATTCTGTGCTTTGCTGGTCTATGTAATGCTTCTAGCAGGGCCTTTGTTCAAATTTTTAATGATTCGACAAAAGGACATTGGGTAACTGCCTCTAACCACCATTGTAAAGATAGTCAAATAAATATTTATTGTAGTCTGCAACTTTTTCCGAGTACAGACTGCATTTACTCAATTTCTAAATTTGCTTGCCTACAGTCTGTTGAAATAGAGCTTAACATAAACAATGTAGCCCGTCAGAAAGATCTTTTGTGTGGCTTTTATGCTATAGCAAATTGTGTTACTCTGTGTTTAGGAAAAGATCCTTGTAACTTTAAATATAGGGAGGACTTGATGCGCCAACATTTGCTGACATGTCTTGAAAATTACAAAATAACCCAGTTCCCTGTTGATAGTTATAGAACTGTTAGAAAAAATGTAGTTCGTACCTCAAAATATCCTTTGTATTGTGTGTGTCGTAGTATTTTTAAATCAACAGACTCAATGATCCAGTGTTTGAATTGTAATGAATGGTTTCATTCTTCTTGTGTGGGCCTATCTGAATTAATGTTTACAGAGTACAAGGCAAGTCTGCGGAAGGTTTACAAATGCATTAAATGTTTGTAGAAAACTTTTTTAGATTCTTTCAGCTGTTCTTCAAGATATTTATTAATGTAAATTTTAATATATTAAAATAAGTAGATGAAACTTTTACTAGTATGACCAGATGAGTTAGAATATTATTTAGAGTTATAACAGTGTTATGAGTTTAACCAGTGTTTTGAGTTTAACCACTGTTTTGAGTTTAACCAGTGTTTTGAGTTTAACCATTGTTTAGAGTTTAAAAATAGTTTAATATTTTAGCAGTGTTGATAGTTACAACAGTATTTCGAGTTCAAATAATGGTTAGCGTTAGCATAGTGTTTAGAGTTTTTTTTTAGTGATTCACCTCCCCAAGGCCGAGAAGGCCGCTACAAATGTGGAGGCTACTTAATTGTAGTTCAAACCCTCTCAACTTTATAACTTTGAAACACAAACCTTGACAAACAAGGCCGCTCCGCGGAGAAACAAGTTAAGCGCAGTACTACTAGGGACGTAGTTGGAATCGAACTCAGAACCTCTCGCTTATGAAGCAAGCACTCTATCGCTACACCACTTCAGCATTAAGTCAGAACAGTGTTTAGATTTATAACAGTGGTTAAAGTTTGAATAATGTTTAGAGTTATAACTGAGTTTAGAGATAGAACAGTGTTTAGAGTTAAAAAAGTGTTTAGAGTTAAGCAGTGTTGAGAGTTAAAGCAGTATTTAGAGCTCAAATAATGTTTAAAATTATCACAGTGTTTACAGTTAAACAGTGTTTAGGGTTTGAATAAAATTTAGAGTCATAACTGTGTTTAGAGTTAAAACAGTGTTTAGAGTACGAATAATGTTTAGAGTTAGAAATGTATTTAGAGTTGGTATAGTTTTAAGATTTAGTACAGTTATCAGAGTTTGAATAATGTAAAGTGTTATAATAGTGTTTAGAGATTGAATAGTGTTTAGGTTTTGGACATTGTTTAGAGTTTGATCATTGTTTAGAGTTTTAATAATATTTAGAGTAAAAATAATGTTTGGATTAAGAGTTAAAGAATCAGATTAGGAATCAGTGTTTAGAGTTAAAACAGTATTTAGAGTTAGTACAGCGTTTCAGTTATATATGATAACGAATGTGAAAGGATGCGACATTGCTGAAAGGCAAGATCATAAGCAAATATAGCTACTTAAGATTTGTTTTTTATTGTCCAGAAGATCATTAATATAGATAAAAAAGAAATAATGCTGGACCATAAAAGGTTGTGTAACACACAAGGTTTTTAGAAAAAAGTAAGATATTATATATTTTATATATATATATATATATATATATATTTATATATATATATATATATATATATATATATATATATATATATATATATATATATATATATATATATTGTCATGTAACTTTTCTTATGTTATACTTGACTATGTAATATTCCATTGTATCCTGCTAATTACTTGTGTAATATTCGTTGGTATTTGGGTCTTTGTTCCTTATTACATATGTCACTATTTATCAAGCAAATTGATTTTTTTTTTCTTGACATATCTCATTTAACTTATGTTATATCATTCATTTATTCTCCTTTATGTCTTCTATTCATATCCTTTCCAATGTTATTAGTCTTTCTTTCTCAATCTTACTATTCCTTTTTTATTGTTTTTATTTATTACTTTTTGCTTGCTCATTTTTTGTTTTGTCTATTTTATAAAGTATATATATATATATATATATATATATATATATATATATATATATATATATATATATATATATATATATATATATATATATATATATATATATATATATATATAGTATATATATATATATATATATATATATATTCAGTTATTTAGTTTTGCTTTAATCATTCGTAAATAGTAGAAATATTTTTATAATGTCATGTATCTATTTTACATATCTACATTTTATAATATTATTTTTTTATTTTTTTAGTTCAAACACGTTATTCTACGTTGTATCATTACTTTGGTTTAGTTAGCCTGCTGATGAAATATGGTTTAAATTAAGTAAATTATCAGGATTCGAAATTTACTTTATTGATCATATTCTATCAGTTTGTGACATGAAATCTAATTCAAAACAATTAGGATACAATAATTTTGTTTACGGGTAATTTTTGTAAAAGGTAACTTATAATATTATTTCTATTTGGTTTTAATACATAGCGTTTTCGGTGCTAGAAATAATATTTTTTGCTAAACATGATTATAATGTTATAAAAATTTCTTATCTTTTGTTTTAAATACTCTGTATCTTTAAAGCTCGACACTCTAGGTAGCGCATTTGTTTATTAATTTAGACAAAAAATTGTAATTCAAGTTTTTGAACAATAAACATTAAATCTGCATTAAATCACAAAAGTGGAATCACCTAATATAAATTAGGCAAAACACGTTTTTTGGTATAACAATCATTAAAAAGTATAGAGTTTGATTTATTCGATCAAAGTATTAGGCGGATTGCTTCATAAAGTTTGGCGAATCACTTAAAATAAATTGGCGGATCACCTTATATTTTGGTAGAACAATCATTAAAATTTAATATAAGCAATCAAATTATTAGGCTGATCACTGTATAAAAGTTGGCGGATCACTTGATATAAACTAGCGGATCACATTGTTTTTTGGTAGAACAATCATTAAAACTTAAAATGTTTTACTTATTCGATCAAATTATAAGACGGATCACTTTATGAAGTTTGGCGGATCACTAGATATAAACTGGCGGATCACGTTGTTTTTTGGTAAAACAATCATTAAAATTTAAAAAGTTTCATTTATTCGATCAAATTATAAGACAGATCACTATATGAAATTTGGCGGATCACTGGATATAAATTGGCGGATCACGTTGTTTTTTGGTAGAACAGTCATTAAAACTTAAAGAGTTTGATATAAGCAATCAAAATATTAGGCTGGTCACTTGATATAAACTAGCGGATCACATTGTATTTTGGTAGAACAATCATTAAAACTTAAAGAGTTTGATATAAGCAATCAAATAATTAGGCAGATCACTTGATATAAACTAGCGGATCACGTTTTTTGGTAAAAAAAATCTTTAAAACTTAAAGTGTTTGATATAAGCAATCAAAATATTAGGCGGATCAATTGATATAAATTGGCGGATCACGTTGTTTTTTGGTAGAACAGTCATTAAAACTTAAAGAGTTTGATATAAGCAATCAAAATATTAGGCTGGTCACTTGATATAAACTAGCGGATCACATTGTATTTTGGTAGAACAATCATTAAAACTCAAAGAGTTTGATATAAGCAATCAAAATATTAGGCGGATCAATTGATATAAATTGGCGGATCACGTTGTTTTTTGGTAGAACAGTCATTAAAACTTAAAGAGTTTGATATAAGCAATCAAAATATTAGGCGGATCAATTGATATAAACTGGCGGATCACGTTGTTTTTTGGTAAAACAATCATTAAAATTTAAAAAGTTTCATTTATTCGATCAAATTATAAGACAGATCACTATATGAAGTTTGGCGGATCACTGGATATAAATTGGCGGATCACGTTGTTTTTTGGTAGAACAATCATTAAAACTCAAAGAGTTTGATATAAGCAATCAAAATATTAGGCGGATCACTTGATATAAACTAGCGGATCACGTTTTTTGGTAAAAAAAATCTTTAAAACTTAAAGTGTTTGATATAAGCAATCAAAATATTAGGCGGATCAATTGATATAAATTGGCGGATCACGTTGTTTTTTGGTAGAACAGTCATTAAAACTTAAAGAGTTTGATATAAGCAATCAAAATATTAGGCGGATCAATTGATATAAACTGGCGGATCACGTTGTTTTTTGGTAGAACAATCATTAAAACTCAAAGAGTTTGATATGAGCAATCAAAATATTAGGCGGATCAATTGATATAAATTGGCGGATCACGTTGTTTTTTGGTAGAACAGTCATTAAAACTTAAAGAGTTTGATATAAGCAATCAAAATATTAGGCGGATCAATTGATATAAACTGGCGGATCACGTTGTTTTTTGGTAAAACAATCATTAAAATTTAAAAAGTTTCATTTATTCGATCAAATTATAAGACAGATCACTATATGAAGTTTGGCGGATCAATTGATATAAACTGGCGGATCACGTTGTTTTTTGGTAAAACAATCATTAAAATTTAAAAAGTTTCATTTATTCGATCAAATTATAAGACAGATCACTATATGAAATTTGGCGGATCACTGGATATAAATTGGCGGATCACGTTGTTTTTTGGTAAAACAGTCATTAAAACTTAAAGAGTTTGATATAAGCAATCAAAATATTAGGCTGGTCACTTGATATAAACTAGCGGATCACATTGTATTTTGGTAGAACAATCATTAAAACTTAAAGAGTTTGATATAAGCAATCAAAATATTAGGCGGATCACTTGATATAAACTAGCGGATCACGTTTTTTGGTAAAAAAAATCTTTAAAACTTAAAGTGTTTGATATAAGCAATCAAAATATTAGGCGGATCAATTGATATAAATTGGCGGATCACGTTGTTTTTTGGTAGAACAGTCATTAAAACTTAAAGAGTTTGATATAAGCAATCAAAATATTAGGCGGATCAATTGATATAAACTGGCGGATCACGTTGTTTTTTGGTAGAACAATCATTAAAACTCAAAGAGTTTGATATGAGCAATCAAAATATTAGGCGGATCAATTGATATAAATTGGCGGATCACGTTGTTTTTTGGTAGAACAGTCATTAAAACTTAAAGAGTTTGATATAAGCAATCAAAATATTAGGCGGATCAATTGATATAAACTGGCGGATCACGTTGTTTTTTGGTAAAACAATCATTAAAATTTAAAAAGTTTCATTTATTCGATCAAATTATAAGACAGATCACTATATGAAGTTTGGCGGATCACTGGATATAAATTGGCGGATCACGTTGTTTTTTGGTAGAACAATCATTAAAACTCAAAGAGTTTGATATAAGCAATCAAAATATTAAGCGGATCACTTGATATAAACTAGCGGA